ACCTGGGTTTATCAGTTTATGTTTAGTTACATGCAGGATCCCACTCCTGGTGAGGAAGGTAGGAGCTGGCTTAAAAGCCAGCTCCGCACGTGCACTGGCTCCTGGGGAACTGCCTGCTGCCCCATGCTACTGTCTCTGATACAAACAAACAAACAAAAAACCCCAAACAAAGCCCTTTACATTTGTAAACTGCACTTTCACAATAAAGAGAGTATACCACACTATTTGTAGGTGAATTGAAAAATGCTATCCTTTTATAGTGGAAATATTTGTATTAAAATAATAAAATGAGTACTGTCATGTTGTATTCTGTGTTCTAATTGAAATCATATTTGAAAATGTGTTCTGTTGTTTAACGGTGCAATTAAAACTGTGATTAAGCACAGTTAATTTTTTTAATCATGATGAAATTTGATTTAATCACATGAGGACTAATTATTGACAATCCTAATTACTGTATGGACACTGCCCTTCTGAATTTAAGGGGTTTAAATTGGGGTTTAAATATATAACCCAGTAACCAAAATCAATATTAAAACAATTAAAGGTGAATGTTACCAAATGACATGGCCAGCTATTTCTGGGTGTCCACAGTCTCTGTTATCCTTTGCCTTTCTGGTGTGTGTTACATATTGGGGACCTGCAGTAGATGAATGGACAGGAAGCACATATGTATGTTCTGAGGAGTACTCTACATTGGCTGTGACTTGGTCTATCCAACCACTGAATTGTCCAAAGGCTATGTAACCAGCTGGCCATGATAACATGGCAGGGTCTCAGTAGTCAATGAAAATTCCATCGACTACTCGATTAGCTGATTAATTGAAATTTAAGATCCCAAGGCCAGAGATAGGGACCAGGGCAGCTATAACTCCACTGGGCCAACAGAGAGCGGGGTGGAGAAAAGGGGAGCTATCTACTATATATTTCAGAGAGTGTGTCTGTCTCCCAGCCAGGTGACATGCACTCCTTTGGCTGTGCCCACTGCTGCTGCACTGACCATGGACAAGTGCTTCTCACTTAGTCCCAGGCTGCTACAGTGATAGGCAGCTGGGGTTGTCCTCTCTCCCTAGGGCAGCCTTCATGCTGACCCCTCTCATCCCCTGCCTCATCCCAGAACAATGTTTTAAATGAAGAAAAACAAAATGTATCTGAGTTAAGGGCCTGAGCGGCACCAGGTAAATTTTCTAGTTGTGTTATAAACCGAGTTCACTTATATTCTGTACCTAAACTTTTAAAGTAAGCTTTAACAATGTTAAGTGCATCAGCCAAATGTTTAGATACATTATGATCAGTTCTTCAAGAAAGAACTTAAGCGAACACATACTTCCACGCCTGTTCACAGTTTTGGTAGCAGCAGTTTGTGAACAGGTCTTGAAAAACTTTATCCAGTCCCTAAGACAAAGTAAAAATTTCTTGTGCTATTGTAGTGTCTAAAAACAGAGTATATTGTGTGTACATTGCCATTTAACTTCCAATTTTAAAAATACGATTCACTATCTTATGCTTTCTGTTATTTCTTTTTCTGCTAAACCTCCCTTCCCCCTCCCCCTCCCGTCCAATCAAGGTCTACGTGCGGGGGAGCACATGAAGTCCCCTTCTGCCTAAGGTCCTGCCCCTTCCAGGGTGGCCTGTGATCACTTTGGAAGTTTGTGAAGTGACCCCCCCCTTCAAAAATTATTGTCCACCTCTGCAATTGGCTCTTTCTCTCCTTCTTCTGAGTTTCTCAAGGGTGATAAAAGGAGATCATGCCTCCTTGTTTGTGAAGGGAGTCCTCACAGCATAATGATCCAGGCACTAGAACTTATTGCTGCTTAGAGCTTGACTGGCAGTAACAATGACTTCACACTTGTCAGTGACACTGCTGACCACAGAGTTCTGAATGGCAGCAGTGAAGACTGATCAGACTCACGAAGGAATGACTGAGGCCCTGGAACTGGCTGCAAGTGAATTTAGAAAAACAGCGCTACATTAGCTTACACTGGATTCATATTTGCCGTCTGCCCGCCCTCCCTCCTCCCTGTGGTGGGCCCAGTTGGGCTGCTGGTTAACGCTTTAAATCTCTACTTGTAAATAAGAAATGGGCAGTATTATCTCTCAGAAATGTAAATAAACTTGTTTCTCTTAACAGTTAGCTTAGCAAGAAATAGGACTGAGTGGAGCTGTAGGTTCTAAACCTACAGCCCACAGGCTGGATTTGGCCTTCAGCTTGCTTTGATCCAGCCTGTGGTAAGGATTGGGGCTTCCCACTGCAGTGGGGCAAGCTGGTGCTTATTCTTCAGCCCCATGGCCAGTTTCCAAGCCTCAGTGTTCCCTTGTGGGGCTGGAGTGCGAGCTACAGGTCACCCTGTTGAAGTGCGAAGTCCTGGGCCTCAGTCCACTGTTTCCTCCCACCTGTGTGGCTGGAGTGCCAGGGGAGCCCTGGAGCTCTGAGTTATGTGGGACCAGTGAGGTGGGGTTCTTTACAGGGATGTGAAAGTATAATCAAACAGTAAACCTGGGTTTATCAGTTTATGTTTAGTTACATGCAGGATCCCACTCCTGGTGAGGAAGGTAGGAGCTGGCTTAAAAGCCAGCTCCGCACGTGCACTGGCTCCTGGGGAACTGCCTGCTGCCCCATGCTACTGTCTCTGATACAAACAAACAAACAAAAAACCCCAAACAAAGCCCTTTACATTTGTAAACTGCACTTTCACAATAAAGAGAGTATACCACACTATTTGTAGGTGAATTGAAAAATGCTATCCTTTTATAGTGGAAATATTTGTATTAAAATAATAAAATGAGTACTGTCATGTTGTATTCTGTGTTCTAATTGAAATCATATTTGAAAATGTGTTCTGTTGTTTAACGGTGCAATTAAAACTGTGATTAAGCACAGTTAATTTTTTTAATCATGATGAAATTTGATTTAATCACATGAGGACTAATTATTGACAATCCTAATTACTGTATGGACACTGCCCTTCTGAATTTAAGGGGTTTAAATTGGGGTTTAAATATATAACCCAGTAACCAAAATCAATATTAAAACAATTAAAGGTGAATGTTACCAAATGACATGGCCAGCTATTTCTGGGTGTCCACAGTCTCTGTTATCCTTTGCCTTTCTGGTGTGTGTTACATATTGGGGACCTGCAGTAGATGAATGGACAGGAAGCACATATGTATGTTCTGAGGAGTACTCTACATTGGCTGTGACTTGGTCTATCCAACCACTGAATTGTCCAAAGGCTATGTAACCAGCTGGCCATGATAACATGGCAGGGTCTCAGTAGTCAATGAAAATTCCATCGACTACTCGATTAGCTGATTAATTGAAATTTAAGATCCCAAGGCCAGAGATAGGGACCAGGGCAGCTATAACTCCACTGGGCCAACAGAGAGCGGGGTGGAGAAAAGGGGAGCTATCTACTATATATTTCAGAGAGTGTGTCTGTCTCCCAGCCAGGTGACATGCACTCCTTTGGCTGTGCCCACTGCTGCTGCACTGACCATGGACAAGTGCTTCTCACTTAGTCCCAGGCTGCTACAGTGATAGGCAGCTGGGGTTGTCCTCTCTCCCTAGGGCAGCCTTCATGCTGACCCCTCTCATCCCCTGCCTCATCCCAGAACAATGTTTTAAATGAAGAAAAACAAAATGTATCTGAGTTAAGGGCCTGAGCGGCACCAGGTAAATTTTCTAGTTGTGTTATAAACCGAGTTCACTTATATTCTGTACCTAAACTTTTAAAGTAAGCTTTAACAATGTTAAGTGCATCAGCCAAATGTTTAGATACATTATGATCAGTTCTTCAAGAAAGAACTTAAGCGAACACATACTTCCACGCCTGTTCACAGTTTTGGTAGCAGCAGTTTGTGAACAGGTCTTGAAAAACTTTATCCAGTCCCTAAGACAAAGTAAAAATTTCTTGTGCTATTGTAGTGTCTAAAAACAGAGTATATTGTGTGTACATTGCCATTTAACTTCCAATTTTAAAAATACGATTCACTATCTTATGCTTTCTGTTATTTCTTTTTCTGCTAAACCTCCCTTCCCCCTCCCCCTCCCGTCCAATCAAGGTCTACGTGCGGGGGAGCACATGAAGTCCCCTTCTGCCTAAGGTCCTGCCCCTTCCAGGGTGGCCTGTGATCACTTTGGAAGTTTGTGAAGTGACCCCCCCCTTCAAAAATTATTGTCCACCTCTGCAATTGGCTCTTTCTCTCCTTCTTCTGAGTTTCTCAAGGGTGATAAAAGGAGATCATGCCTCCTTGTTTGTGAAGGGAGTCCTCACAGCATAATGATCCAGGCACTAGAACTTATTGCTGCTTAGAGCTTGACTGGCAGTAACAATGACTTCACACTTGTCAGTGACACTGCTGACCACAGAGTTCTGAATGGCAGCAGTGAAGACTGATCAGACTCACGAAGGAATGACTGAGGCCCTGGAACTGGCTGCAAGTGAATTTAGAAAAACAGCGCTACATTAGCTTACACTGGATTCATATTTGGAGGATCATTTTTATAAGCCATGGGGTCTAGAGTATTTATTTTTAAATACAATCTCAAGCTGCCGAAGCCAAGGCACTTGCCTGGGAAAGATTCTTATTTGTTGAGTGGGTTCAAGTTCATTTATGAAACTGAGTTATCTGATAGAAGCTATGTGCCAGAAAGGGGAGCAATTTGAAAGGGGGAACAAATTAACTTGTTCTTTTGGAGGTTAGACCATGGCCGTGCCAAAAAAAATTACTTGAAAAATTATGGAGGCTTCTATTGGGTTTTGTTATTTTATAATTACAACAGAGTAAAGAAATTATAATTGTAAAACTTGCTTTAAGTTTGATTTCTTGAGGTTTTAAAAAATTACATTTTTGGCAACTGCATGTAGTTGAAAGTATTTAGAAAAATTGGGAAGTAACTGATAGGGGATACTTTCCAGTTGAATGGGGCAAAATAGATGTGGTTTTGTTTTTGAGACATTAGGTATTGAATGTGTGTTTTTTTTTTTTAATTGATACAGATATGATCTCAAACACCATTGTGACTTTTGAAATGGACAACTGGATCTATTCTGGTTTGTGATTGGCCTTAAACTGACTTGCAACCACAGAAAAACCTCACAGCATCTCTATCTCATTCGTGCTTGAAATCTGTATAGTAACGTTACACCACCAGTTCAGTCATGTATGGAAGTGCTCGGTCAGTTGGTAAGGTTGAACCAAGCAACCAGAGTCCTGGGCGTTCACCAAGGTTGCCAAGATCACCGCGTTTGGGTCATCGTCGAACCAACAGCACAGGTGGGAGCTCTGGAAACAATGCTGGTGGTGGGAGTGGGAAAACGCTTTCCATGGAAAATATTCAATCCTTAAATGCTGCCTATGCCACGTCTGGCCCTATGTATCTAAGTGACCATGAGAACGTGGGTGCCGACACCCCTAAAAGTACCATGACTCTTGGCCGATCTGGGGGGCGACTGCCTTATGGAGTCAGGATGACTGCTATGGGTAGCAGCCCCAATATTGCCAGTAGTGGGGTTGCCAGTGACACTATTGCATTTGGAGACCACCACCTCCCTCCAGTGAGCATGGCATCCACCGTGCCTCACTCACTGCGCCAGGCTAGGGATAACACTATAATGGATCTACAGACACAGCTCAAAGAGGTGCTACGAGAAAATGATCTGTTGCGCAAAGATGTGGAGGTGAAAGAAAGCAAGCTGAGCTCCTCCATGAACAGTATCAAGACCTTCTGGAGTCCTGAGCTAAAGAAGGAGAGAGCCTTAAGAAAAGATGAAGCTTCCAAAATCACCATTTGGAAGGAGCAATATAGAGTTGTGCAGGAAGAAAACCAGGTAAGTTATGCATGGTCATTGTTGAAGTGTTTGGGTGGGAGAGAATAGGACTGAATCAGTGGGTTGTTTCTATTTAATGTGTGGATTTTTCACTGGATTACACTACTAGGTTATTTGGAATGGGTTGCAGGGTTTCCCAAAGTAATAAAATTGGAAAAATAAAGTGGATTTTTAAACCATAATGCCACTTACTGAACAAAAGTGATTCAACCAGAATTCCAAGCCCTCTGAGCAAGCATATGCTCTTATATTTAATTGTAGGATTTGGGTGTGGACTAATATTAACCAATTAAGTTAGTTCCCTTTAAATGTCAGGTTATTTCCAATTGATCTTCATTGATATTTCTATTGTGCTTATTGCTGTCATATTTGCAGCATTTTAAGTATTAAAAATGTATCCGTTGTAGATAGTGGGTACTGTTGAACTGCTACTGAACATTGTCTAAGACACTGATGGGCAATAATTTTTGGTGGGGGGGGGACACTCCCATATTTTGGAAAGTGGTCAAGGGCTGAACTTTTCTGTGGAGGAGATTGGGTGCAGAAGGGCACTCAGGGTAAGGTACTGGGGTGCAGGAGATGGTGTGAGGTCTGAAGATGAGTTTGCGTGAAGGAGGGGGTTGTGACCTGGGTAAGAGGTTTAGGGTCAGGGAGGGAATATGGATGCAGAAGATTCTGGCCTGGGGGAGGGGTTCTAGGAGGAGGTGCAAAGTCTGTGAGAAAGGGAAGAGGGAGTGCAGACTGCAGAGGGTCTGGGTGATAACCTGGGGCAAGGGAATGTGGTGCAGGGTCTGAGAGGGTGTTTGGGAGCAGGAGAGGATTCTGGCCTGTAGGAGGGGTGTAGGAAGGGGTACAGGGAGGGAGTTGTGATCTGGGGCAGAGGGTTTGGATGGTGACCTGCGGAAGGGAGTTGGGGTGTGGGAGGAGATGGGGTGCCAGAGGCAGGTTCTGGCTGGGAGGTGCTTACCTAAGTGTCTCCTGGCCGGCAGCCTTGCAGCACCCCAAAGCAGGCTGGGCTTCCTGCCTGCTGCAGTCCCAGATCACTTAAAACTGCAGGATCTCCTTCCGCGTAGCTCTCTTGCTGCTCCCATCCCCATTTCTCAGTCCCCTCCCTGCAGAACAGAGCGCCACACAGATTGTGCTTTAAACTGAAGCAGCTGTGTCCTGAGGGTCTTGGCAGGATGGTCCGCGGGCCAGATTCGGTGGCTTGGTGAACCGGATCCAGCCCCCCCAGGCTGTATTTCACCCAGTCCTGGTCTAAATGAAGTCAAGGCAAAAGGCTATTTGATATCATTTTAGAAACTGGTTAAAAATTTCAGGTTTAGGGATTTCTGAAATAGCTCTGAACTGTTCTTGTCCTTGGCTACGCTTACTGTTACATCCCATTCAGCCCTGGTTTAGATGCATCTGTTGTCCACAATGGAGTACAACTTGTAGTGTAATCTAGACTCGAGTTCCTGACAAGATTAGCTATGCCATTTACCTACATAGGTTAAAACTCACTTCTCTGCTTTTAAGCTGGCTTCTTTCAGAGGGTTTGTGCCTATTTGATTCCTTCTGCAATCAATCTTTTATGACGTAGATTTTTTTTTTTTGTTAGTGTGGTCATGCTAAATGAAACTGTTTGGGCTGCAGCTGTTTAACAAGTGTTAACATCTGATTTGTAGGCTGGTCTGCACCTTAAACTCTCTGTGCTGCAGTTGTACTCATTTATAATGACTTGTCCAGCTATAGAGTGAATCAGTGGTAGAGAATTATAGGAATGCATATATTTTTTTCTGGCATTAATAAAGGTCAAATATTTGCACATGCGGGTATTAGAATCATAGGATTGGAAGGGACCTTGAGAAGTCATCTAATCCAGGATTCTGCATTCATGGCAGAACTAAGTATTATTTAGACCAGGGCTACTCAACTTTGCAAGCCCCGGGGCCACAGTGTTACTCATAGAACATGCTGAGGGCCGCAACCTAAGTGTGGTTGCATATATATGTGCAAATAGCTTCTTTCATACTGATGGGCATGAATACAAAGATTAAGGCAAGACTATGCAACCCGTAGGTCCCATTTAAGTCAGTTCTGCTGAAATTAATACAATGCAGTATTTACCTGATTTTCACCCATATGACAGCACTTTTAATGAGCAATGACAGCCCAGGAATTGAACTACTAAAATGCATATCAACAGAAGACCATTATATTGAATATTTTTTGTTTTGGCTCCCACCCACGGAGCATGTATTGAGCCCCACCCCATGTAAATCCAAACTGCACCACGGGTCGTAAACAAATGGGCCGCATATTGAGTAGCCCTGATCTAGACCATCTAGACAGGTGTTTGTCTAACCTGCTTTTAAAAATTTGCAATGATGGCGATTCCACAACCTCCTTACATGATTTATTACAGTGCTTAGCCACCCTAACAGGAAGTCTTTTCTAATGTTCAATCTAAACTTTCTTTGATGTTGTTTAAGCCCATTGCTTCTTGTACTACCCTTAGAGGTTAAGAAAAAACACTTTTCTCCCTCCTCCTTGTAACAACCTTTTATGTACTTGAAAACCATTACCATGGTCCCTTCTTAGACTTTTCCTTTCCAGACTGAACAAAAATATTTTTTAACTCCCATCATAGGTCATGTTTTCTAGACCTTTAATCATTGTTGATGCTCTTCTCTGGACTTTCTCCAATTTGTCTACATCTTTCTTGAAATGTTGCAGCCAGAACTGGATGCAGTACTCCATTAGAGGCCTAATCAGCATGGCGTAGAGCAGAAGAATTACTTCTCATGTCTATCTTATTACATTCTTACTAATACATCTCAGAATATTTGCCTGTTTTTCCATAGTGTTTTACTTTTGACTTATGTTCAGCTATGATCTACTATGATCCCCAGATCCCTTTCTGCAATACTCCTTCCTAGACAATCATTTCCTGTTTTGTTTGTGCACAATTAATATTTCTTTAGAGAGTGGACACAGAAAATTAGAGGGAACACTGGCCAGATGGTGTTTGTGATTCAGCTGGAGCTTGCGAAAGCGATAATCTCATTTGGTTTCCTTTCTCTGGCCTGCTCTGGTGCAGAAACATCCGAAGATGGTGTTCTGGTGTCCCAGGACAGGGTGGAGGTGGTAGCCATGAAAGTGAAAGTCAGTTCAGTAGCCAGTTTTTCTCCTATAGTCTCCTTTTAAGAAGACCAAAAGCAGTCCCCTCGTTGTAGGACATAGGAACATAAGAATGGCCGTACTTGATCAGACCAAAGGTCCATCCAGCCCAGCACCCTGTCTGCCAACAGTGGCCAATACCAGGTGTCCCAGAAGGAGTGAATTGAACAGGTAATTATCGAGTGATCTCTCTCCTGCCATCCATCTCCACCCTCTGACAAACAGAGGCTAGGGACACCATTCCTTACCCATCCTGGCTAATAGCCATTAATGGACTTAACCTCCATGAATTTATCTAGTTCTCTTTTAAACCCTGTGATAGTCCTAGCCTTCACAACCTCCTCAGGCAAGGAGTTCCACAGGCAAGGAGTTGACTATGCGCTGTGTGAAGAAGAACTTCCTTTTATTTGTTTTAAACCTGCTTCTCCTTAGTTTCATTTGGTAGCCCCTAGTTCTTATATTATGGGAACAAGTAAATAGCTTTCCCTTATTCGCTTTCTCCACACCACTCATGATTTTATATACCTCTATCATATCCCCCCTTAGTCTCCTCTTTTCCAAGCTGAAAAGTCCCAGTCCCTTTAATCTCTCCTCATATGGAACCCATTCCAAACCCCTAATCATTTTAGTTGCCCTTCTCTGAACCTTTTTCTAATGTCAGTATATCTTTTTTGAGATGAGACCACCACATCTGTACGCAGTATTCAAGATGTGGGCGTACCATGGATTTATATAAGGGCAATTAGATATTCTCCGTCTTATTCTCTATCCCTTTTTTTAATGATTCCTAACATCCTGTTTGCTTTTTAGAGTGCCGCTGCACACTGCGTGGACATCTTCAGAGAACTATCCACGAGAACTCCAAGATGTCTTTCCTGATTACTTGTAGCTAAATTAGCCCCCATAATATTATATGTAGTGTAGTGGGGTGGAATGGCCACCCACTGAGCCGGAGGGGGAGGAACCCCTCGGGCGGCCATTTTGGGCCCGGCCTAGCCCCGCCCCCTCACCTGACCGGAAGTCAAGGGGCGGGACTAGGACTATAAGAAGGCTGCCTGGGAGCTCAGTCAGAGCCCAGCCTCCGAAGGAGCCGGAGGCCCGGCTGGAGCTCCTGCCTGGGGAGGCTAAGACCCGGGCTAGGCCGCCCTCAGCCACCTTCCCAGAGGCCGGCCAGGGCTTCCCTGCCCGGGCTACTAGGGCCTGGTCTGGCCCGCCAGCTGAACCACTCGCGGACCCAGAGGACGGAACCCAGCCGCTG